TCCAGATAATGAATTGAGGGACCTAAAGAACAGCTAGATTCTTACCACAACTACTTTAAAAATCCTTAACAGCCAGCCCAAACTCTGTAAGTATACTAACTTAGGATTTCTTTTCTATCATTAAAATAGACAACAGTATCATTTTACCTACCTTCTTCCTAATACAGATTATAATATCCCAATAACCCTTCAGATATTTTTAGTGCCCTAGATTTAACGATATTGGGGAACTAAATATCATTAGTTTCATAATTGCCAGCTTTCTTGTTTCAGTTAGACCTAGTGATTTAGGGACTGGTTGGAGAGGGCTGCCCTCTAGAGGCCTGATCAGATACACAGAATTTTCTTCAAGAGATTTGTCAGAGAAGAGACATGAATGTGAATCATCATTTCAGGCTGATGAAAGCAACCATACTCAATGTCTAAAAATATAAAATCATTTCATTGTAGTCTTTTTGCTACAAATAATGCAAGAAATAGAAAAACACTCATTTCCAACTAGACAGGAAGTAGATAAGGTGTGTTAAGACTTTTTCCATTGTTTTAAAAGGAAAAGCAACTTTAAGTTTATGTTTGAGTTACTCCACATATGATCCAAACTTTACCCAGTTATGATTAGCACACTGCCAAGGTTATAGCATTGTTATCCTAAACTGAACATCCATAATAGTCAGAGAGGCACTCAATAGAGCAAATCACTCACTAATCATAACAGCTCGCCCTTTGGGATCCACAGCTAGGAACTGGCCAGGAACAATACGGCGGCATCCACTCTTGCCAAAGGTTTCTTGGTGAATTTTCTCAAACATATTCTTAGATGGCTGGTATTCCAGGATAACAATCCGACCAGAATCACTGCCAACCACAATGTAGTCTTTAGTGCCACCCGTTAGCCTAAAGGCCATGAGCGAACGAATAACACCAAACACTTCCACAGTTAGCAGGGTGTGTACTTTGCCAGTGTTGGGATCCGGGCGAAGCAGCTCCAAGATCTTCCCACGAGAAACAACAATTTCCTGTTGTTTGGTTCCTAGATTGCCCCCACACACAAAAAAACAAATAAATAAGTCATGAAAAATCAGAACTACTCCAAAAAGTAACCTAGATGAGCCATAATGCCACTAAAGACAGGCAGAATTAAATGGGTTAGGGGCTCAGTATTTTCAGTTATTCTACTTGAAATGATCTAACAAAAATGGCACCAAGGTTTTTTAAATGGCTACACAAGTTACTTCCTTAGAAACTTTTTTTTCCTAACATTTGCCATTAATATGCATATTTGAACACTGCCCATACATTAATGGTATTAACGTATCCTTGGCATCACACAATTAAAAATTTCCAAAGGCTTTTTCTAGTCTATCTTTAAGGCTACTGTTCTAAGAAATTGTATTAACATTTTGTGCCATTTGATGTAGTGTCTCAAAGAACTTTTAAAGCTGTCAATAAAATATACCGTTTATTTCTAAACTCACACCTAAAAAAGTTCACTTGCTCTTGTAACTGCAATCAATACCTTCAAATGCATAATAGTCAACATAATTCCACCTGAACAGAGTTGTCCTAAACTTTAAACTAAATGTTTAAAATAACAAAGTTCTTCCTTGCCCAAACTCCCTCTCTGGTCTCTGCTAACCTGCTTTCAATATTACTATAATTTTCTCTGCCACCTCAGTTGGAAACTTGTATCTTTCACTTTCTTTCTATCCCCACTGTCAGATCTTCACTATCTTAATGGATTGCTATAATGACATTCCACTCTTACCCATCACAATCCATTCTCGTCTGCTCAATGCCCCACTTATTAGGCCACCTTATTTGCCAAAGGACATTTGGGTATCAGATAAAATCATAGTGCTTTGTAAACTATAAAGCATTATAGACATTACAGTGTTCTCTAATGATTAAAATTTTCCTATAATTTTAAAATTTGAAAAACATGAAACATAAAACTAATAATATTAAAAATGTTACATTCAGAAAGACAGTAACTGGACAACTTACCAGAGAAGTTGCCATGAATGGCAAAGCTAATACCAGTGGCTCGCTGCAAGGTCAAATTGTACAGGAACATGGTGACAACACCACTGAGCCACCCACCACTCCACAATCCAAGCGTTGATTATACCAAGTCAAAGCAAGCTAAGAGCACATAAAAGGAGAAAAATATCAGCTGGGAAATTGATGTTTTAACAGACATTTCTATATAGGAACTTCTGGCTGAAGGCAGTAGAAACAGGCCTATGGAAGAACATATTCATAAGAGTTCCTTCTATACACCAGGAACTATATATACTTTGCCTCTAACCTCACAAGAAACCTACAGTACTTAATAGGTAAAACTCATTTTATAGATGAGGAAATTAAGGCCAAGAAATTAAATCACATGTCTAAAGTCATATAACAAGTAGTAAAAATGTTGGGAGCTAGAGCTAGGATCTGAACCATTAATGCAACACTGTATTTGCTTTGTCACAGAAACCACGTAGGTCTACTTTTACTTGTATTTGAACAGGCTATGTGTTCACAAGGTTCAGAATTCAAAAGCACAGCAAAAAGCCCTCCACCCACCCATTCCCTAGCCATCCAGCTCTCCTCCCGGAGGAAATCAGCCAAGTTATATTTATCCTGTCCTTCCAGATATTTTCTGTATGGAAAAGCAAAAATGTACTGTATATTGCCCTGCCAGCGCGGCGTGGTTGAGTGTCAATCTATGAACCAGGAGGTCACAGTTTGATTGTGAGTCAGGGCACAAGCCAGGTTTTGGGCTCAGTCCCCAATGGGGGTGTTCAGGAGGCAGCCCATCAATGATTCACTCTCATCATTGATGCTTCTATCTCTCTCTCCCTCTTCCTTCCTCTCTTAAGTCAATAAAAAAACATTTTTTTTTAAAAATGTACTGTATTTTACCTCTTTTCTTAAAAGGTTGGGTACTATATATTGTACACACACATTATACTGCAATTTATTTATTATTTTCTCTATCTTGGAGATACCAATAAAGGGCTTTCTCAATTTTATTTTATAACTGCAGAGTATTCCACTGAATGGGTATATTAAAATTCATTTAGCCAATACCCTGCTGATGAACATTTAGGTTGTTCCCAATCTCTTGCTATTGTGAACACTGCTGCAAAGAAAATAACTCACACATAGGCCATTTATACATGCATGAATATCTCTACCATTAATTCATAAAAGTGAAATTGCTGGATTGAGGGACTCATACAACTGAAAATTTGATAAATAGTGACAAATTACCTTTCAAAGAAACTCACCAATTTACATCCCCAACAATATATGAGTCTATTTCACCACAACCAGACCTCTACTCACTTGCACCTCTTCTATAGCTCTATGTCTCAGGAGTGATTAGAATTTAAAATTTAAACCTACTCATCATCAAAAACTAAAACAAAATTGAATTCCTGCCGCTTCAGAAGGCCTCCCTAGGGTAGTCATGAAAAAAAGTTCTTCTCATTATACAGGACTTAAGACTACAAACTTATGTACCTCTACCACAAAAGAATTACCCAAAACTATACCTATACGGTCACTGCCGGAAAAGAAACTGAGTTATTAATTTTTAAATTCCCTCCGGTGGGGGCGCGTGGGGGAGGCAACTAGTCCATGTGTGTCCATGTTTCTTTCTCTTTTTCTCTCCCTCCCCCCCCCGCCCCCTCAGAAAAAGCAATGGAAAAACTATCCTCAAGTGAGGATTAACAAACAAGGCTGCAGAAACCACGAGCCACTTTTGAACCCCCGAAAAGCTACCTCCAGGCTGCTTTTCATTCTTTATACCTGAAGTCGGCCTACTTTCAAGTTCCTTTGTAACTGATGTCATCCAGTCACATCCTTGGAATTCATTTTCCCCAAACCTAGTTGAATCCAGGTTCCCCAACTATTCGTTCATCTTGGGGAATGGAGGAAGGTGTATTTAAGAGAAAAAGCAGGCTAAAACTACAAGAACTTTGCACCAGGAACCATCACGGGCCACAACCTGGTAAATTTTGTGACTTCTCTCTCCTGTTTGTGTTTACTAGAAAAATAGCCTGCAATTGCTCCCTCCATCCCTTCCCACGTGCCAAATGGACATCACCGCGCTTAAACTCGGCAGTCTTCAAGATAGATATCATTGCCCGTGTTGCAAATGATAAAACTGAGGATCAGAGGAGGAAACAAGTCGACCAAGTACCAAAATGCACATTCAAAACAGGTCTTAGCTCCAAAGACTGTTTCCGTTATTTACGCTTTTAACATGCGAGGCTTCTTCACTGACGCGTCCGAGTGCTGTTTACAGTGTCCTGAAGACCTCCTGCCCGCCCTTCCTCACACCTCCCCCAAACCCAAAGAGGCCCCAAGGCCTAAAAGCTAAGCAACCCCTAAAGGCTTATTTTGAGTCAGGTCCCCTTCCCACCTTGTAGACAGAAACAGGTAATAATTCCCGGGAGCCGTTTTCACGCCCCAAACGTTCCGGTCGACCTCCCCGTTTCTTGCCCGAATCCCCTCGGGCCTAGGCTGCCTCAAAGACGCCCCCCCCCCCAAAAAAAACCCGGTGCACACTCCTATATGGCCACTCTGTTCCTCTGCGGACCGGGAGAAGTCGGGGGGCTGCTTCTTTACCCTACAGCGGGAAAGATGGTGTAGATATCCAGCGGATGCAGAGTTCCTTCAAGGCCTAAGCCACCGCCAAAGCCGACACACCGGCATCCGCCATTAGCTTTCAAGATAAGGACCTTCAGCTTGGCGCGCGGCGGAAAAAGGCCCCAATCGGCGCCTAAAGGATGTGTATATAATTTTTTTAATGCATCGGTCTTGCAGCCACCCCGCATTGAAAATTACTTAAACATACCTTATGACTGTCACTTTTTCCAGGAGAATATAAAATGAATAGGCTTTTTTAAGTAGACATTTAAAAAATAAGTTCATCGGGCACTTCCGTGGGCAGCCCCAAAACACCGGCGCGCCAACGAGGAGGGGGGCCTCGCGGGGCCGGAAACACGGAATGGGAACAAAGATGGCGGACCTCAGTTCCCCTCAGAAGCTGTTAGGGGTGTCTCAGCCGCCTGAGGGAGTGGGAGGAGGCCGTTGCTCCGAAATCTCCACCGAGCTCATTCGCTCCCTGACGGAGCTGCAGGAGCTGGAGGCTGTGTACGAACGGCTCTGCGGCGAGGAGGTGGGAGGGCTGAGCCTTTTTCCAGGAGCATCCAGGGGTAGTGGGCGTAGGAGCCGTCAGTCGGGGAAATCTGGGCTGTGGGAAGCTTTCTCCTTGCCGAGAGAAACGAAAAAGCACCTATTCGAGAAGCGGGAGTGTAGTTGAATGTGGTTCTTGGACCTACCTTCTAGAACCCTTCACTCAGTCTGATGCCCCCAAGCTTGTTTTCTCTGTCATCTGGGCGATCCGCCCCACCCACCCCCCATTGATTTATTGAGCGTATATGCCAACTCTCCTGAGAGTAAGCATAAAGGTTCTCTTGCATTGCTTAGCAGGTTAAAAAACTATGAAATGCTTTCACTCCATTATCTCATTTAAGCCTGCAGTCGTTGCAAGTAAAGGTGAAGCGTTTTAAAACTTCCTCTTGGAGGAAATGATTTGGGGGTGTAATTTTAGCGTTTCGTTTAAATGCAGAGCTTTGTAGAAGCTTGAGATTTTAGGACTGAGGCACAACTGCCTAATCTTGGACAAGTCACGTCATCTCTTGTACCCCTGACATTGTGTCAGATGAGGGGCCGCCGACTCGACACTAGCAAGGATTCCTTTCAGCTCCTAATGCTTTATCTCCTTTCTGCCTCCTTCACTGTTCTGTGGCAACCGGATGCTGTCAATACATTTTTGAATGTCAGTTGGGTTCCCTGCCAGTCAGGAGGAAAAGATCTAAGCCCTGCTCTAAAAGTTTAGTAGCTGCTCCCTAAAACCAAACATTTAGATAAGGTTGAGCACAAAAGCCAGCTTCAGCCTGGAGGAGGGGAGGGATCATTGACGTCTTTGAATATTTTCAAGTATTAACTTGCACCAGCTATAGCAGTTTCTGATACGTTTTTCAGCAAGTTGTGCATTATAAAATTAAGTACTCTTAACATTCCTAAACTTGTATTCATTGAGTCAAACAATACTTTCGGGGGAAATTAAGTCAATCTTACAGACAGAACAATGTTCTGTATTTGTATATGATAACTGTCGAGGTGAAGTTGCCATCTGTATCTTACTGGACTATTTTAACAGACATGCTTGGCTAATATTAATAGCTGTTATTGAACCATAAGCCACGTACTATGTTAATAAGCACTTTATGTTCGATATCGTGTTTGGCTCAAACAACAGTCCCATGGGATATGTATTACTATCCGTATTTTACAGATGAAGAAACTCAAGCATAAGAAGTTTACATTAATTGAGGTAATACAGTAAATGGCTTGGCTGAGAAAGAATTATACACTATGAAGAGACTTTAACTGCCACTTTGGAAGTGTCATTTGTTTAGCCATAATATTTTAAAGGTGTTCCTGTGTTAGGCCCTCTGCTAATAATACTGAATAGAGGTTTGTTTTCTCCCTTTGTGGGGTTCATCTGCTCCATGAAATAAGATATACGTAATAACCATTATGCACTGTGATAAGTGTAAAAATTAAGTGGTGTTGGTTAATGTTCTGGGGTAACTTAGTGGAAGGAAAGAAGGCATTTGAGATGGTGTTCAACCTTCAGCTAAGTGGTTGGGCTAGAAAGCTCTTAGAGTTCCTTTTGACCATTCTGATGACAGGATGTTTCTGTGCATTTCAGAAAGTGGTGGAAAGAGAGCTGGATGCTCTTTTGGAACAGCAAAACACCATTGAAAGTAAAATGGTCACTCTCCATCGAATGGGGTGAGTCTGTTAATCTCAGTAAGAGCTATCGTACAACAGGGTCCAGTAGATACATTACTTTTCCTAACTTTCTGCCAGTTGAGTGTGAAACAAAGAGGAGCATTACCTCAAGGTAAAGTGAACACCTAAAGGGTACAGTTAAGTGGTTTTCAAAGTGTTCTTGACCAGCAATACCAACACTACCAACATCGCTTGGAAACTTGTTGGAAATGCAAATTCTAGGGCCTCACCTCAAACCTACTGAATCTGAAACTCTGGGGAGGGGACCAGGAATCTGTATTTTAACAAGCATACCAGGAGGCTCTGGTGCATGGCTCAAATCTGAGAATCACTGTTTTTTACAAATTTTGCATATTTGCTAGTCATAAAAATTGCTCTTTGATTTCATCATCCTCTCAGATTGTTGGTTAGTACATTTTATGCTCACGTAACAGTTGGGAAGAGGGTATAGTGGGGGTAAATGGTGATGGAAAAAAGTAAAGAGAAAAAAACAATTGGGAGAATCTGTTCCCTAATTCTTTGGTAGTACCTATTTAGGGGTATCTTTAAAGTATAAGCCTGAGTTTACAGTAAAATATGCTTAGGGAAAAAAGCTGTTATTAGAGTGGCTTAAGCTAAGAATTGTGGGGAAGTACAAAAGAAGTAGAAGACATAGTCTCCATCTGCAAAAACACTTTTTCTGCCTCTTACTCCTACCCTCTGCCCCGATGGATATGTGTGTGCTGACAATGTGTATCTCCAGTCCCAACCTGCAACTGATTGAAGGTGATGCAAAGCAGCTAGCTGGAATGATCACCTTTACCTGCAACCTAGCTGAGAATGTGTCCAGCAAAGTTCGTCAGCTTGACCTGGCCAAGGTAATCGCATTATGGTGTTGATGTCTGAGTTAGTAGAGTTATTAGAAAAGCCACCACATTAGAAATTAGAGCAGCACCACCCAGTAGAAATCTAACACAAGATACCAAAACCAGACAAAGATATCAAAAGAAAAGAAAACTCCAGATTAATTGCTTATGAATATAGACATAGAAATTCTTAATACTAGCAAACCAAATCCAGCAACATACAAAAAGAACTATACTATGAGCAAGTTGGAATTTATCCCAGGAATGCAGAGTCGATTTCACTTATGAAAATCAATTAATGTTATATACCATATCAATAGAATAAAGGACAAAAACCACATAGACTCAAAAAAGTATTTTACAAAATTTAACACCCCTATAAAAAAACTCAAACTTGCAATAGAAGGGAACTTCCTCAACCTGGTAAAGGTCCTCAATAAAAAACCCACAGGTAACATCATACTTACTGGTAAAAGACTGGTTGCTTTCCCTGTGAAGGTAAGGAACAAAACAAGGATGTCGTCTCTTGCTGCTTCTCTTCACCATCATCCTGGAGGTTCTAGCCAGTGCAATTAGGCAAGAAAATGAAATAAAGATGATTCAGGTTGGAAAAGAAGATACTTAATACCAACCACATATGTACTTTTGAATTTTCTAGTAGCCATTTTTTAAAAAGTAAAACAGAAATAGGTGAAAATAATTTTTAAAATATTTTATTTAACTCATATCCAAGATGCCATTTAAATATGTAATTACTATAAAATTGTATTAATGAGATATTTTACCTTCATCTTTGTACTAAATCTTTGAATTCCAGTGTGTATTTTGTAGTTTGGACTAGCCACATTTCAAGTTCTCAATAGCTACATGGGGTTAGTGGCTACTGTATTGAACAGGATAGTGCAGAGTCTGGGCTCTTGAACAAGTCAGTCCCAGCCTTGGTTTGCCCTGTGAAATAGCATAACTTTTCCTGATCTATTTGTTCAGATTCTGCAAAAATAACTTACCACAAAACTAAGCCACAAGGCCACCAACTCAACATATTAAAGGTTGTTTTTAAACATTCTTGTTTATTCTAAAAGAAAAATACTTTCCATATATTTCATTTACTTTATAACTTGGTTTACAATGTCATGTTTCCAAAATGTCAAATACATTCTGATTCTATTATAAATTTAACAATGTAAGCCAAATATAAATATGGGTTATTACCCTGGCTGGGTAGCTCAGTTGGTTAGGGCCTTGTCCCATACACCACGGTTGTGGGTTCAATCCCCAGGCAGGGCACATACAAGGTCAACCAATGAATGTATAAATAAGTGAAACAACAAATTGCTGTTTCTCTCTTTCCCTTCCTCTCACTCTCTAAAAGCCAATAATAAAAATTAAAAATAAATTGAAAAAACTGTTTGCTTGGTATAAGCAGCTTTAAAAAAGAAAATATGGATTATCCTTGTTCTTACTTCCATTAGTTGAATGATCTGGTTACATAAATTAAATTGCATGATACTTATCCATGGTCTTGGTCATTTGCAATAACCGTTTTGTGAGTGGTAGTATTTTTAAGTTCACCAGTGAGGGCTGGAAAGGGCCTATGGTTAACTATATTCAGTCCCTGAATCTCCCTACCTTCTGAAGAGATGTTTTTGGTAGAATAGGACATTGTTTCTGAGCAACAAGTCTTTTTGCAGAACCGCCTCTATCAAGCTATTCAAAGAGCTGATGATATCTTAGACCTGAAGTTCTGCATGGATGGAGTTCAGACTGCTTTGAGGAATGAAGATTATGAGCAGGCTGCGGCCCACATTCATCGCTACTTGTGCCTAGACAAATCAGTCATCGAGCTCAGCCGACAGGGCAAAGAAGGTAAGCATCCCAAACTGTTGATTTCTAGTTAACTGACAAGCATCTGTAATCTGAACTAGGCACACTCAATCAGGAGAAGGGCATGTACTGTTAGGAAATTTCCTTGTCTGGCAATAGACCCTGTATGGGGCCTAGACCATCCCAGGGCAGTGTTGTTATTCCTATTTAATAGAAAAGGAAACTGAATCCAGATATGCTGTTCTCTGACCAGTGGGTTCTTTCCACTTGCCCATATTGCCTACTTAAAAAATTAAATTCTTAGCCTCCTATCCTGGGCCTTCCATAATCTTGACTCACCCTTTCTAGTTCTTATTTCTGTCTAGCCTTATTTCATGCTATTCACTCATGCATCCATTCATCGTGCTAATATTTATCGATCTGCAAATGACAGGGCATACATAGTTGACCCTTGAGCAATGTGGGAGTTATAAGCACCAACCTTCTGCACAGTTGAAAATCCTTGTATAGCCCAGCTGATGTGGCTCAGTGGTTGAATGTCAACCCATGAACCAAGAGGTCCCTGGTTCGATTTCCCAGTCAGGGCACATGCTCGGGTTACAGGCTCAATCCTGACCCTGGTCAGGGCTCATGCAGGAGGCAACTAATTGATGTGTCTTTCTCACATCTATGTTTTTCTCTCTCTTTCTCTCCCTTCCACTCTCTGAAAAGCATGGAAAAATCCTCTGTTGAAGACTTAAAAAAAAAAAGTGGTGCACAGACTAAATGGCATTAATTTTCACTTTCTCCCCATGGCACAGGGAGCATGATTGATGCCAACCTGAAATTGCTGCAGGAAGCTGAACAGCGTCTCAAAACCATTGTAACAGAGAAGTTTGCTATTGCTACTAAGGAAGGGGATCTGCCCCAGGTGGAGCGCTTCTTCAAGATCTTTCCGCTACTGGGTTTGCATGAGGAGGGATTAAGCAAGTTCTCAGAATACCTTTGCAAGCAGGTATGGCCCTGATTGCTTGGCAAGATAATGGTATGGTTCTCTGCCTATAGATGGACGCACTAGGTAGATCCAGTGTCTGTGGATACTTTCTCATCTCTTGATTTGACTCTCCCTTTTCTGCTTTTTTTTTAAATATGTTTTTACTTATTTCAGAGAAAGAAAGGGAGAGGGGGGGAGAGAGAGAGAAACATCAGTGATGACAGAATCATTGATTGGCTGCCTCCTGCACACCCCCTACTGGGGATCGGGCCTGCAACCTGAGCCTGTGCCCTGACCGGGAATTGAACCGTGATCTCCTGGTTCGTTTGTCGATGCTCAGGCACTGAGCCATGCCAGCTGTGCATCCACTTCCCTGTTTTTGCCATAGCCGGCAGGACTGGATGCATGCATTCATTCAACATTTATCTATTTCTAGTCTTTGTACCAGGCATGGCCTAGACATCTGATGCTCATTTATTCCAACAGACCAAATGAAAGTATAGGAAAATTAAAATGTAAATTCTCTGACAAGTTGACTTACCCTTTTCAAGCTGTTAGCCAGGAAGTGGCTTCTTTATAGAGCATTTGGAGTTGCTGGTGAGTGCTTTTAAAACTTTGTAACCAGGGTTGAGTCTCAAAATTTAACCACAATGACATGAAGCAGATTAGGTCACTTGAGGTTAAATCCTGAAAAAGAAGCAGGCTCCAATTAAAGTTTCAGCCTTCTTTCCTCAACTTAGATGTGAGAGAATCAAATCCCAACAGGCATGTGTGCAGAAGGTTATCGTTTGTTTGTTTGTTTATTTATTTATTTAACTTCTCACCTGAGGATATTTTATTGGTTTGAGGAAGAGAGTGAACAAGAAACATGGATTGGTTGCCTCCCGTATGCTCCCCAACTGGGGATCAATCCCAAAACCTAGGTATGTGCCATGACCAGGAATTGAACCCGAAACCTTTTTGGTATACAGGATGATGATCCAGCCAACTGAACTACCTGGCCAGTGCTCATTTTTTTCAACTATATGTCAGAGTGCATCCTGTCCATCCATCCCTAATTCTCTATAATGGAACACTAATCTGCCATTAAGAAAAATACAGTTCCATATGTGCTGACATACTTCAGTCTCTTATATATGTGGTTTGTTAAGTTAAATAGCAGTATGCTACCATTCCTGTTTAAAATGAGGGGCATGGCAATAAAGATATATGCTTGTATAGGCATGGGATATTTTTGGAAGGGTTAACAGTGATTGCCTCTAAAGATGGGAATTAGGAGACCAAGAGACATAGGTAAGAGGAAGAACCACTTTTCACCAAACACTCCTTTGTTCCTTTTGAATATTTAAGTAGTTGTGTTTAGTTATTTTTAATTAATTTTTTAGAATGTGTTCTGCAGTGGCAGAACATTTTCTTTTTCTTCTTTTTTTTTTAAATATATCTTTATTGATTTCAGAGAGAGGAAAGGAGAGGGAGAGAGACAGAAACATCAATGATGAGAAAGTCATTGATGAAGCCCACAACCTGGGCATGTGCCTTGACCGGGAATCAAACCCTGATCGCCTGGATCCTAGGTCGACGCTCAACCGCTCAACTACTGAGCCACACCCAGCCAGGCAGCAGAACATTTTCAAAGAAAAGAAAAGCATTATTTATACCTCTGAGTGGGAGAGCTACCATTGTGTTTAAGTTCCTTGTCTCGCCTGAGGCTTAGACAACACAGAGCTCTCAATGGAGGTACCTCTGTGCTGCCTAGACTTTTAGGCATCAGGGGAAACATGGGAAAAAGAAAGGCAATGGGAAATCTTTGGGGAAAACTGAGGCTAGCCTTTGGTCAGAAATATATGTGAATTTTCTTTTTATTTTATTTTTTCAGGTGGCCAATAAAGCTGAGGAGAATCTGCTATTGGTACTAGGGACAGACATGAGTGATCGAAGAGCTGCAATCATCTTTGCAGATACACTCACTCTCCTTTTTGAAGGCAAGCCTTTTTCTCTACTAGAGGTAGACTACAGACATTATCCTAACACCTGCATCCTAACTTTTCTTCTCTCCCCACTGGCCTGATGCCTTTATTGCTGTAATTTACTGTATGCGGGTTTATTGGAGAATTAACTTCCCAATTCAATATCAGGTTAGCAAAGATTAGTTTGATACTCCCTAGCCCTCAAGACCAAACTCTAAGAATAAGTTTAACTCTAAAATACATTCCTGGGAAGAGAGTGATACTGATTTTTAAAGATGTTCTTGTAGAAACTATCAATATAACTTAGGAAATGCCTGCTAGTGTACCAAGCACAGAGCATACTTAACAGACAAATTTGCTTAGCAAATTCTAACACTGACAAGAACCATTTGTATTCATTTGGGGAGGTGAAACAACCAAAAAGGGTTAAATTAGACCCTGGGTCAGCTTTGGCAGAGGAAAAGACTTTATTTTGTGGGAAGAATATTTGGAATCCAACCCTCTTGCTATCTTCTCTCTAGGGATTGCCCGCATTGTGGAAACTCACCAACCAATAGTGGAAACCTATTATGGGCCAGGGAGACTTTATACCCTGATAAAATATCTGCAGGTGGAGTGTGACAGACAGGTGGAGAAGGTGGTAGAAAAGTTCATCAAGCAGAGGAACTACCACCAGCAGGTAAGCAGGAAAAGCTACTAGTGGTTTGGAAGCAGTGTTAACTAGGGAATAAATGGGGGAAAAGAGAAAAAAGATGCAGACAGGAGAAAAATAAATACCAAATACAGACTGACCTGCATCTTGCCCATCAGGACTTGAGGTGTTGTCAAGATGATGATGGCCTCAGTACAAGATTGAGAAGGAACTGGAAAGGGCTTCCTGAAAGCAACACAACAGAAACATTAAACCAATTCTGTATCACAGAATGTGCAACTGTGCTTTCTAGTGATATGAGAATTTTATTTGTGAAGATCCTATTAAGTGTCAAGTAATACGTCTCACACTTCTCCTTTGTACCCTTAAGTACTAAAGGTAACATTTGCTTTTCCAGAACTTAATTTCTCCATTCTTTTGAGCAGAGAAAGTAAAGAGCAGGACTTAGAAGTAGTAGTCCCATAGACTTTAGACAGTAGTCCATTGGAATACCATTAGCATCACTTTTAAATGCAATAATAAAGGTGAGCATTACCATCTAAATCAAAAGTAAATCTTTGGCTCATCCTGAAAGCCTACTTCCAGTTAAGCACACTAAGTCTAAACATTCTTGTATGCCAGAAGTTTAGAGTGACTAGCAAAAGGCAGATAGAAGGAGGGTGGGGAAGAGCATTCTCACTTGTGGTGTTTTGCAGTTCCGGCATATCCAGAACAACTTGAGAAATTCTGCAACAGAAAAAATAGAACCAAGGTAATAATTCTCTTTTCTTCAGCCCATAGGTGTTTGAATTGGAAATCATGAATCATTCAGAGACTACTTTGTTACAGTGTGGTCTATGTTTTAAAAATATTTTATCTGTGACTCTTGGTTTTTTTTAATGGAATATATCCTATAAACAGAAGCATATATATAACTTGCATGGTTCGTAAAGAATAATAGATCATTACCAATACTTTTGAAGTCCCCAGAGTGACTCCCCTCCTCTATCTCACCCAAAGGCAACTACTATTCTAAACAACTACTATCCTAAAATTGTGAGCTTTTAATTTTTCTAATAAAAATAGCATATGCTGCCTGGCCGGTATGGCTCAGTGGTTGAGCTTTGCCCTGCGAACCAGGAGGTTACAGTTCAATTCCCAGTCAGGGCACATGCCTGGGGATTTGGGCTCAATCCCCAGTAAGGGGTGTGCAGGAGGCAGCCGATCGATGACTCTCACCATTGATGTTTCTATCTCTCCCTCTCCCTCTCTCTGAAATCAATAAAAACATATTTAAAATGATAATAATAATATATGCTTGTTAAAAGAAAATCCAAACATTATAAAAATGTATTCATTCAATCAAATTTTTACTGAGACCCTAGCTGGCATGGCTCAGCAGTAGAGCATTGACCTGTGATCCAGGAGATTGCAGTTCGATTCCCAGTCAGGGCACATGCCCAGGTTTCGGGCTTGATCCCCAGTAGGGAGCATGCAAGAGGCAGTCAATCACTTTCTCATCATTGATGTTTTTCTCTCTCCCTCTTCCTTCCTCTCTCTGAAGTCAATAAAGACATATTTTTTAAAATATAATACAATACAATACAATATAACATAATATAATGTAATATAATATAATTGGTTGTTTACTTTAAAAAAAACTTTTACTGAGTACATACTACATGCTAGGCACTGGAAATATGGCAACAAACAAAGTGAACAAAACAAACCTAATTCTTTTCCTGTGGCATCTCTGATATATAGTGTTTACTATATGCTAAACATTGTTCTAAGCACTTAACAAATATCAAATCATTCAACCTGGGCTTTCTCAACCTCTGTATTGTTAGCATCCCTGACCTTTACCCAGTAGATGCTGGTAACACCCTTCAGTTCCGACAACCAAAAATGTCTCCAAACACTGCCTAATTTTTCCCTGAGGGGTAAAATCACCGTCAGTTGAGGATCACTGATTTAACCCATAAACATTTTTTTACAGATGAGGACCCGAAAACCTAAACAGGTTAAGTGACTTGCCCAAGGTCATACACCTAGAAAGTGACAGAACCAAGAAAAGAATCCAAGCAGTCTCACTCTAGAGTTCATGCCATTAACTACTGTGATGTACTACTAAGTGTAGGGTACAGGAGAACATGTAATAAGGGGATATAACCTAAGCTGATAAAGTTCAAGGAAAAATCCCTGAGGAAATGACCTTAGATCTGAGACCTTAAGAGTAGTAAGTAGGAATAAGGTGGAGAGCGTTCCAGGTAGATCAGGGAGAACGTGTGCAAAAGGCCCTGTGTGTTTGAAAAAGTGAAAGAAGGCCAGTATAGTTGAAGTGCAGAAAGTTGGGGAGAACCTCATGAGATGAGATGAATCTGAAGAAGTTGTTAGAATTAAGCCATTCCAGGTCTTGTATCCTAAGAGCTATGGAAATCTTGATTATGATATGACCAGATTTATGTTTTGAAAAGATCTCTTAGACTTCAGTGTGGAAAGTGAATCAATCTGTATATAAATTGAAGTAGGGGTTCAACTTTTTTTTAATGTACATCTCAGTTATCCTAGCACAATTTGTTGAAAGACTATTCCTTTCCTACTAAATTGTCTTATCACTCTCCCTAGAGATCAGTTGACCATAAATGTGAAGATTTTTGTACTCTCAGTTAATCTATAGGTCTATCCTTATGTCAGTACCACACTGTCTTGATTGCTGTAGCTTTGTAGTAAGTTTTGAAATTGGGAAGTGTGAGTCCTCCAATGTTTCGACTAATCATCTGGATAGATGAATGGGTGTGAGACAGTTTAAAGGTATGCCCCAAAATCTCATTACATCTAAATAAGAGGTTGGAGGGTTGTATGTTCTTTCACATGAGGCATAGATCATTTTTACTCAAACTGCTAACAAAAACACACCTCCCAATCTCTTATTTAGCCCTGGCAGGATTTTAGGGGCTTGAGTGATTTGTGTAAAACATGTAAGTGGAATATGTGGTTGACAGCCGTCTCTGATTATAATTGGGTCAGCAGAGCCAGGATGACTATCTGGCAGAGACCTTCTGGACCCAGTGGGGAGGGGATGTTTGGGACTGTGTTTGCCCTGTAGCTTTTATATCTCAGGGAATCCAGTGTCATCCTGCTTATTCCTTCTGCTTCATGTGTCTCAGGGAACTGGACCCCATTTTGACTGAAGTCACCCTGATGAATGCCCGCAGTGAGTTGTATTTAAGCTTCCTCAGGAAGAGGATCAGCTCTGATTTTGAGGTGGGGGACTCCGTGGCCTCAGAAGAAGTAAAGCAAGGTAAAAGGCATTTCCCATATTCCCTGGGAGGGCTGGGGTATGGTTAGCACTGTTGTTTCATAGTTAAGCCACAGATCTCTTAATAAGGAAATAACTAGGACTTGTTAGCGTCAAGGGGGGTCTATGGGCAAATTGACTCCCAGGAGGAAATCTAGACTTAACTGAATTTGGACTTGGACTGGGTCCTTGAAGCCATCTAATTATTTTCCTCTTCTCTTTTACCCACACCATGCTTTGGTTTAGGGACTAGTGTTTAAGTGATACGTGCACATGGTAAGTAGGTAGGTAGATGAGCAAGGTACATGATTGATAGATAGATAATAGATAGATTAGATAGATAGATAGATGATAGATAGATAGATAATAGACAGACAGACAGATAGATGAAAAATATACATAATTTCATGAAGAAACTTTTGGGAGTGATAGGAATAGTCCAAACTGGATAGTAGCAATTGTTGCAAAACTATAAAGCTACTAAAAAAATCATTGAATTGTATACATAAAATGGGTTAATTTTATGGTACATAAATTACACTTCAGTACTGCTTTGAGGTATAATACTGAAAAAAGTGTATATAGTATAAAGAAAGAGCATACAAAAAGAGTACTGTAAAGAAAGGCTTTCGCCCCCTCCCTTAGTCTCTCAGTTCTCCCAGTCACAATTTTTGAAGAGATAAACACATTGAAAAAAAAGTGTGCCACAGTTCTATTTTATTTATAAATTTAAGAACATTTAATTCCTGCTGGTCAAGTATTACAGAATTCCCCAAACTGGAGACTTGAGACCAACCCAGCATCTGTGGGATTCTGCATGGCTTGTGCCAGTAATACATGGCAGAGGAATTAGTTATATGGCCCAGGTGGCATTGCTTGAATTGGTGTTTAAAGAAGGACGTATGCTAATTTGGAGTTTTGGGCCTCACTGTTATTAATTATAACTGTCACTATTCAGAGCTGTGCTGTCCAATATAGTAGCCACAGCCACATGTTAACAATTTAAATTTAATTAAAATGAAATAAAATTTAAAATTCAGATCCTCAGTCACATTAGCCACATTTCAATTGCTCAGTAGTAGCTACCACATTAGACAACACATAAAGGACATTTCCATCATCACAGAAAATTGACTGGTTTAGAGAATGAAATTTTTTATACCCAATATATTCCATTCTTTGCCCTAGAAACTTACATCTTTTGAGTCTTACTAATTAATTCTAAGGGAATTATGAAAAAGAAGTAAAAAGTTATTTGTATAAAAATGTTTACTATAATCTCCAATTACTCCAATCTCCAGTTATCTCTAATAATGGCAAAACATTTGGAAATAACCCAGGTGCCTAAATATAGGAGAGTAGTTTTAAAAAATAGACTTTATCTGATAAAATATCATAGTCATTAAAAGTAAATAAGAGAAAATAAAGGCTATGTAGAAACATTGAAAATATTTATAATTTTTAAAGCACAATACAAAACTGTATCTATACTGTGATTGTAACCATGTAAATTATGTACAGATTTGGCATAAAGACTAGAAAGGAACTGAAAAAATGAAAAGGGTTGATCTGTTTCCCTTGAGGAAGAAAAGTGAGTATTCTTTCTTGGCTATCCCCTAGAACACCAGAAGTGTCTGGACAAACTCCTCAATAATTGCCTATTGAGCTGCACCATGCAGGAGCTAATTGGCTTATACATTACCATGGAAGAGTACTTCATGAGGGAGACTGTGAATAAGGTAGGACAGAGGACACATCCCTTGGAAATGGGGCTCCTGCCCAAGATGCCAGGCTGAAGGCATGTCATAATTTTTGGTCCTGCTTTGAGAATATCCTTGCATGCAGACTGCATGGCACCACTTTGTATGGTTAGTTTTTACGCTTTGACTTGTCATGCTCTTCATAGATCCAGGTGGGACTTCTTCCCCAAGGATCAAAAAAGAACACCTCAGCTCCTCAGGGAGACTGCTTGTTCTCTGCCTCCCTAGAGGTATATAGGTGAGGATCCTTGGGGAAGAAGGGCCTCTCCTGATGTCTTACATACCAGGGCAACTGTTAAGTTATCCTCAAGGCAAAGGCCCTAAATACTTAATTTCTTAACATAGTGATCAATAGGGAAGTAAGCTATTTAAAAAAAAAAAAAAAATGTTTTTATTGATTTCAGAGAGAGGAAGGGAAAGGGAGAGAGAGATAGAAATATCAGTGATGAGAGAGAATCCATCAGCTGCCTCCTGCATGCCCCCTACTGGGGATTGAGGCGCAACCTGGGCATGCAGGATTCAAATCATAACCTCCAGGTTCATGGATCTATGCTCAACCACTGAGCCACACCAGCTAGGTGGAAGTGAGCTATTTTAATAAGGAGGATCCACACCCAGCTGTCACCAGAATAAACCATATGGGGGAAAACATGGACAAGGTATAGAAAAGGAAGCAGAGCCAGGGCCTATTCCAGAACCATCTCGAACAGCGACATGCAGAACTGGGGCCCTCACTGGGTGCTTTGCCTTTTGAGTAGGCTGTGGCTCTGGACACTTATGAGAAGGGCCAGCTGACATCCAGCATGGTGGACGATGTCTTCTACATTGTTAAGAAGTGCATTGGACGGGCTCTTTCCAGCTCCAGCATTGACTGTCTCTGTGCCATGATCAACCTTGCCACCACAGAATTAGAGTCTGACTTCAGGTATGGTTGACACTCTTTCTCATTTCTAGGAGGCAAAGGTCCTAATCATGATTGATTACTGAGGCCTGTTTGTTTCTTTCCTTTTTTCCTTATGATGATAGTTTAGTTCTATACAAGATATGATCTCTTATCCATAGCACAACATCCTTGGCTCCAGGCAGCTGTACAGCAGCCAGATATTTTATGGGCCAAGTCAATGTTCCCTGAACTAAATTGGAGTCGTCACTGGCCCTCAGTCCTATGAAAGAGAACAGGCAATTCAGATGAAGGCAGTAATTGTAATATTAACATAGTTACCATTGCTACAAGCCAGTCCTAATAAAAACCCTGTGAGGTAGGAACTATTAGCTCTCTTTTATAGATGAGGAAACTGGGGCTTAAGGAGATTCCATGTCTTGTCAAAGATACTACACCTCATATGTGATGGAATATGGACTAGAGTCCCAAACTGACTGTCTCAAAACCCATTCTCCCAACTCTTGCTCAGCACTGCCTTTCATTAAGCTATACTGCTGAGTTTGTTGGAGCTTAGTGGTGATAACTGAAATCCTTATGGGAAGTCAAGAATTAGCTAGTCTTCTCTGTGTGCTCTTGTTATCAGTGCCCTTGAGGAGTATTGGTCTCTCTCATATCCTGGCTGCTTATGGTCTCCTAAACCATCTCAAGGATTGGTTATACTCCAAAAAGAGCAACTTCTGCTGCTGGGTCAGGGTAGGATGCCCTCGGTCCTGCTGTCCCGGAGGCCAGATTGAGCACTGTCAATCCCCATCAATCCCCATATGCCATTTTACCCCCCCAGGGACGTTCTGTGTAACAAGCTACGGATAGGCTTCCCGGCCACCACCTTACAGGACATCCAGCGTGGGGTGACAAGTGCCGTGAACATCATGCACAGCAGCCTCCAGCAGGGCAAATTTGACACAAAAGGCATTGAGAGCACTGATGAGGCCAAGCTGTCCTTTCTGGTAGGTAGCCCCACTGGCCGGGAGCTGGGTTGGTTTATCTTGAGAGGTTAAACTATGATCTCTAAGCTACACTATAGCCTTCAACTGGAGACTTTTCCTCTAATGTCTAAAGGAAAACTCATTTTAGAAGGTTTTGAAACCATTTCTTAACCAGGGGGCCTGTTTCTGAGGAGCCTGAGCCAGGACAGGCACTGTTTCCTGCCTGAAAGTTTGGGTGCTTAGCTTTCCAGAGTGCTCATCCCTAAAAGCACTATCCAGCTGTTGAGGGGCTCCACTGAGTATCAAGCTTGGCTTGCATTTGCCACAGGATCAACTAGAATATCTGTGCCAAGCCTTCAGATGGCTCCTCTGAGGACAGTCCCCCAGTATGGGTGGGTGCCAATCCTTTAAGCCTACCAGGACTGCTTTTCTAGCACACTTCTTAAGCTTTCAACTTTCTCAGAAAGGTGATCTTATTAAAGCCCTTAGCTACCCAGAATGACTGATGTGATGAAGCAGTGAGTCTTCCCAGTTGTGTGACAGATGTCAAAGAAGCATAGAAGGATGAAAGGATTTATACAAGGTAACAGCTAGTTTGTGATGAGCCAAAAAACACACAGATGAGTCTGAGCTCACATTCAGGCATCTCTGGCACTTGCTGTCTTGGCAAGAATGGGAATAGCACTATCCGAGGTCATCCTGCTTCACCCTTACATTGGCCAGACTCTAGTTGTCTTGGCTTATGAGGGTCAAAGACTGAAGGAAACATCTAATAGCAGAGCTCTCAATCAGTACACAGATGGCGTCTCTGAACACCCTGGGGTTGGATGCAAAAGTGTATATATGTATTTTTTTCTGGAAGTATGGTCCTTAGCTTTTCAGATTCTTAACTCCCCAAAAGAGTTTAGAGCTATTACTTTCTCAGACAGAAACCTAAACATGCTAATACCTACCCCATCTCTGTATAAGGAAACCCTCAGTAACTAGTCCTCAGACAGATCCAGTATGGAGGCTCTTTAGGCAGCCCCACTCTCTTCCTGTCATTGAAGATATGTTCCCTGGGCATGAGTTCTATCGAACTGGAATGTCGTGGTTATTGCCAAAAAAGGGTATCAGCTCCAAGAAACTGTTGCCTCTGAGTATGGTGCCTTTAGAGAACTTTGCCAAAAGGGCAGCCAGCTTCATTTGATCATGGATTGACTTAAATTTTCATCTTCTTTACATTCCATTTCTTTCTTTTTTTTAATATGTTTTTATTGAGAGGAAGGGAGAGAGAGATAGAAACATCAATGATGAGAGAGAATCATTGATTGCCTCCTGCACACCCCCTACTGGAAATTGAGCCCACAACCTGGGAATGTACCCTGACCAGGAATCAAACCGTGACCTCCAGGTTCATGGGTTAATGCTCAACCACTGAGCCACAGCAGCTGGGCTACCTTCCATTTCATTTTTTACAGAACTTACTACATTCTTTCATTTCTCTGCTCAGAAATGACTCCTTGCTACCTACCACAACAAAGCTAGATGTCTGCCTGGTGGTTTATTGAGGGCCCTCTAAATCTGACCCATCCTGCCACTCCAATCCTATTTTCCACCACTTGGCTCCACAAGTCTCCATTTGGCTAATGGCTATGCGTTCATGCATTGGCTGCTCCCATTCAGACAGTTTCATTCTTTTAGGGCCCAGAAGATAAGGCCAATAAGAAAGGTGATGCTGAGGCCCTGGCTGGGTAGCTCAGTTGGTTAGAGTGTCATCCTTATATGGCAAGGTTGCAAGTTTGATCCCTGGTCAGGGCACATACAAGAATCAACCAATGAATGCATAAGTTTCTCAACAAATCAATGCCTTGCTCGTTCTCTCTCCCTCCCTTCCTCTCTAAAAAAAAAAAAAAAAAATCAATAAATATTTTTTAAAAAAGGAAAGGTGCTGCTGAATGCTTGGTGACAGCTTTCTAGTTTTTCTAATGCCAAGTACTTAAAATGTCATTCCCACCGCAGGGCTTTTTTTTTATGTCACCTTGATTCATTTGGTTGTCAAGATGAATTCCCCAACGGTACTGACCTATCATTCATCATGAGCTGGGATAAGCCCAGTGAGTCCTTGCTTACAAGGGCTGTCAGTACAAGGAAATTTTGAGATCAATACCATTTGAACCCAAATCCATTTCCCCTCATGACAGATTATTCTTGGTGCCCTTAAATGCCTTAGAAACATTTATGTTGTCATCTTCATCCTTGAGTGGTCATGACAGTAGTTAATTCCCTAGAACCTGGTGATGTTAGCAGCCGTGTGTTGTGGTATGCTAATGAAAGGCCTTAAGTCTTATCAGTCTACAGCAGAAGCAGCCTTAGCACTGTCAAAAGCATGACCTTTCAGTATCGGCTGCAGGACACTGATAAGGGAAGCATTCTTTGGAGACAAGAGGTGTGTCCTAATGTCAACTCTCTCAGGTTCTGGGATTCTTTTATCCTAAAATCCTGAAGCTCCTGACTCATCTCTTAAAAATTGATTCCTCCCTACATCACCTCTGCCTTTCTGGCCATGCCACTAGCACACCAGTTCAGAGGCCCTGTGAACCTCTCAAACTTCAATTCCTGTCCCACACAGCCTCTAGGTTAGTATTCCCAACCCATAGCTGTGCTCATGTGCCATTTACCTGCTTTAAATACTCCTCAATGTCGCCTCATTGTCTACAGGACAGCACAGCACCCAAGTTCCAGTCTGACTTCCCCCACTCCCACAGCTCCACCTCTGAACCATTTTCCTGCATTTGTCTGTGCACTGACTCTGCTGATCCCCAAATACCTTGGGTCACTATCTCTGAGGTCAGGTTGACTTCACTGCCTTGGTGTCAGGTACAGGAGAAAAGGCGAGCCTGGTTCACTATTCTGCCCAACCTAAGACCTGATGACAGTCCTTAGCTCTCATCTGAGCCACAGGAGTGCAGCTGTCAGCCATTTGTGGCACTGGAGTGGGTACAAACACCAATAAGTAAGAAGTCACATTCTTCTGTCTTCACTTCCCAGGTGACTCTGAACAACGTGGAAATCTGCAGTGAAAACATCTCTACTCTGAAGAAGACGCTGGAGGTACAGAGGAAATTGCCTGTCAGCTTTGAGGCACTACAGCCTCCCCTGGCCTCTTTTTGAGAGGGAGCCCTATAAACTCATCCTGGTGGGGACTGTGGCATGCCCTAGCATTGAGCCAGCTCCCCTTCAGAGCACTTGAGGAGATTCACTAGTGTTTAACTAGGGAATCAAGATGTAACAAGGCATCTCTGGACCAGTATGAAGAGCTCTGGCCCAAGATTTGGAAGATCAGGATTCAGAGTAGATCTTCTAGCATATACTTAGCATGTGACCTTGGACAAGTCCTTAACTCTCAAAGATTTAGTTCTCTCATCTATTAAATGGATCTCCATCCTGCCCTACTTTGGGCTTGTTGGGTGGCATAATAAAAAAACAGGGTTGAAAACACTATAAAAATGATAAAGCTTCTATAAATGTAGGAAATTTAGATGAGATAGAGTCACCAACCTGTACAAAACTGGTTGCTATTACCATTTTTTAAAGGAAGGCTGCATAGTATATTGAAAAGTGTTTGCACTTGGAAGTCAGATACCCCTGAGTTCAACTCTCCACTTGACCACTAACCAATTGTGTAGCCTGAGGAAAGTTCTCTACCCTCCCTGAGCCTCAGTTTCCTCATTTGTAAAACAGGGAGAATGATCTCTGCCCCACAGGGTGGTTGTGAGAATTGAACAAGATAACGTAAAGCGCCTGGTACTTGAAGGATGCAGTGGTAGTAAATTGTATTAAGAGTTACAAATGACAGCACAGAGCAATCCAAGTGTTAGAAGACAAGAGGCCCAACTCTGTCTCTGGGAAAGGAGGGAAGCAGGGTCCTACCTCCCTTGTGGCCTTTGTACTCTGCTTTGCTACAGAGGCACAGGGCTCCACGTGCAGGCTGGTGGTGAGTGTCATCCTTTGGGCTGGACAGACTGAGGAGGCTGGGGACCAACACAGAGAAGAAGGCCCAGAGCTGATGGGGTTTCTGAGGGTCTCCAAGAGAAGAGTCAGGTGGGAGTTGACAGTAGTATTGAAAACTGGACTAGATTATGAATTTACCCCAGAAAGGGCTCTACAATTGAATAAAATAAGAGCAATACTCACAAAGTACCAATAGCATAGTGTCTGTCACATTGTATGTATTCAACAAGGTGACTGTCATTGTTTTTAAGTCAGGGCATCTTAGATTATATTCTTGACTTCATCTTTAACTTAGTCTGTTGGATTTTGAAATAAAATTATAGGAAATGTTAGGAATTCAGAACTGAGCTGGTAGAACTAGCCAAGTGAAAGAAAAATGGATAGCAAAGAGCTAAAAACAATTCCCATAAATCCTACCCCCTTTGGATTTGCATTTTACATGTGTTCTTAACCCATCAGCAGCCCATGAGGTCGGGTGGCATTTTACAGATGAGATTAAAGAGCTAAAGATAGTAAAGATTGGAACTGCTATAGGAAGGAAGGACCTCTGCCTGCCAGATCAATTCCTTTGCAATTCTCCCACAATGCTGCTCCTGCTGTAGGCAAAACAGCACAGGCTTTCTAAGGAAGCTACAAGAAATGTGGGCAGCTAGCAACCCAAACATGGTGAGCTTCAAGCAGCTCCCCCTGTAGAGTTATGTGCACCTGGGCTGTAGTGTGGGGATTAGGAGGAACAAGTGTCTTGGAGCCAGAATTCCCACCTTGAATCCCAGCTTCACAACTTACTGCTATGTGGCTTTAAGTTATTCATTTCTCTGTGCCCCAGTTTCCTTGTCTGTATAATAATAATAATAGTACCCACTTCATAAGATAGATACTTTAATTAATAAAAATAAAATGCTTAGAATAGGGTCTGGCACATGGTAAGTAGTTAAATCTTAGCTGTGATCATGACAATCTCCCTTGGGCTGCCAGGCTACAGTATCTAAAAATCGGAAACTAGAATAGTTAGTATGTCCTTAGGGCCTACTATGTGCCAGGTGCTGAGCTAAGTTTGTGCATCATTTCATCCAGCTCTCACAACCACCAAGGAAGCAGGAATTTGTTCTCATTTTATAGACAGTGAAATTGAAGTTCAAAAACTTTAAATCACTTGACCAAGGTCACTCAATTGGTAGGTAGCTGAGCCAGGATTTGAACCTAGGAGGAATGTCTGGCTCTAAAGGTATGAAAAGATGTATGGTACTTGTGTTTCTTATTCACATTCCCTGACACTGGTACACCCAGATTACAAAGGGGGAAGTGAGGGCCAAATAGCTAATCACCAGGATAGAATCCAGGTTTCTGAAACCCACCAAGGACGCTTGCCTAGGATCAGCCTTAGCTGTTCCTAGAGAAGGCTAGAGTAGGAGAAATGGCTGGTTGCATGTTGCCACCCTCCCCACTGTCTGCTGCACATGCTCAGAAACCAGAAAACTGGGTGTTCTCCTCTAGAGCGACTGTACCAAGCTGTTCAGCCAGGGCATTGGAGGGGAGCAGGCCCAGGCCAAGTTTGACAGCTGCCTTTCTGACTTGGCTGCCGTGTCCAACAAATTCAGAGACCTCTTGCAGGTAAGGCCCGGGTTCAACTACTGGCTTAATCCTGTGCCTGTGTGTTGCTCTGAGAAGATTGTTACTGGCTTACTATAGGCTCTGTATAAAGAAAAAGGGAGGAGGGGTGAGGGAGTAGCATGCAAGCCAGTGAAATTGTGCCAGTCCCTTGAGACTAAAGGCCCCATTGGTTCTTCAGCAGTGCAGTTATCATGTTGACAAGCCAGCATTCTGGTCCTCTAGAGTCTTCACCTGGCCCCCACTGTACCAAGAGCCCTCAGAAAGGTGCTCTGAGGAAATAGAATCACATGTTACTCAGACCTGCTGCTTGGCCTTAATCACAGGTGCTGCCTAGTACCAGGCACTCAGAAATACCTTCTTTTGAGAGTGTACAACACCAACCTCTAGGCCTATCTCTGGCCTAGACCTGAATTGGCACAGATCTGGAAAGGAACTGGTGTTCCTGGCCTCTTTTATCAGCATTATCTGTTATACTTCAAACAGGGCCTGCAGATAGTCTCAGAGCTGGAAGAATGCCCTGGCAGTAAAGGGATGGAGCAGGAGAAAAGAAGGATGGGAGGTGTGCCTTCTAGGTATGATACTTCTCCTTGTCCTTCACAGGAAGGGCTGACAGAGCTAAACAACACAGTAATCAAGCCGCAGGTGCAGCCTTGGATCAACACCTTTCTCTCTGTTTCCCACAACATCGAGGAGGTCAGTCAGACCACGGCCGTCAAGCTCAGAATTACCCCCTTGCTCCTTTATCCCCCAGCTGGAGGGCAATGGAACTGTTGAAACAGACTAGTCTTAGTCTAGTCCTCGTTATCTTCTCAGGCCTACTTCCCTTGCCCTCATAGCCTAGGTTCTTCCCAGGAAACAGGTTGTTCCTGCAGTCAGAAGGGCTCAGAAAAACACTTAAAGGGAGTTTGCCTTGACCTTGCATCCTCTTATTAAGGCTCTTTTTGCCCTATCATAGACTTAGCCTTATTTCTTTTAACCTAAGGATTTTATTCCTAGAACATGAGATGCAAGAGTGAGTAATATGCCAGGAGCTTCACCATATTGTGTGGGCTGTGGCTATAGCCCAGGGTCGTTTGCCAATGGGAAATGTGATGCAGAAGTAGCAGTCACTGCCAGCTGGGATGTCCTAGCTGGTTTTAAGGTAGATGAGTCAGAAGCTACAGGTGAAGAAGGACCTCTTGTGTTAGAGGGGTGGAAGTGGGGTGGGAGTAAGTGGTTCTTCTTGGAGAAGCCCCCAGTGACCCATCTTGCTTCCTAACAATAGGAAGAATTCAATGACTATGAGGCCAATGACCCTTGGGTGCAACAATTCATCCTCAACCTGGAGCAGCAAATGGCAGAGTTCAAGGTGAGCAGGGGCTCTAGGGACTGGCTTATGGAATTACCCACCTCTACCCAAACCAGCAGCGCCTCATCATATTCCTGCTAGCCCTTCCAACTCTGGAAGCCCTTCCAAGTCCCAGCCTGTGGAAACACTCCCTGATGGCCTCATGTAACTGTCCATACACCCCAAAGACTACTGTATAGGCAGAGGGGTGGGTGTGACTCCCACTGATGTCTGGTCTCTGTGTGTAGGCCAGCCTGTCTCCAGTCATCTATGACAATCTGACCAGCCTCATGACTAGCTTTGTTGCAGTTGAATTGGAGAGAGTGGTGCTGAAGTCCACCTTCAACCGGGTAAGATCTGGGGAGCACAAGCCCCCAGCTCTGTTGTTTCTCCTCTAAAGATGAGTCCAGTCACTTTGTCCTCTATCTGCTACTCCCAGGCCCTACATATCTGGGCCCAGTCCTGCCCTGGCTTCTGAGGCCTTAGAGCTGATTGGAGCCACAGGGTACCACCTAAAGCCCAGCACTAAGGAAAATTAGGGGCCAGTTCTGATAGACCAGAGGGCCAGGCCTTGAGCAGTGACGGCTTATGTTCCCCTGCAGCTGGGCGGTCTGCAGTTTGACAAGGAGCTGAGGTCACTCATTGCCTACCTTACCACGGTAACCACCTGGACCATCCGAGACAAGTTTGCCCGCCTCTCCCAGATGGCTACAGTTCTCAATCTAGAGCGGGTATGTGGGGTCCCCTCAGCCTAGCCAGGGAAAGGTGTCTGGGAAGAGAGGCATAGACCAAATTTGGATCCTAGCCACTCCATCAAAACGCCAGCAGACCTGCCCGGCCAGTGTGGCTCAGTTGGTTGAACGTCATCCATGCACCAAGAGGTCACCAGTTGGACACCTGGTCAGGGCACATGCCTGGGTTGCGGGCTCAGTCTCCAGTAGGGAGCATACAGGAGGCAGCCAGTCGATGTTTCTCTCTCATCCATGTTTCTGTTTCGCTCTCCCTCTCCCTTCCTCTCTCTAGAAAAAAAAAGAATAAAAAATATATATATTTTAAAATGCCAGCAGCCCAGCCCTGCCAGAAACCTTCCTGGGCACCACTGCTCTGAATCAGGTGGAGCCCCAGGCCTTCCCTCAGGATAGCTCCCTCCTTGCTCATTTGTCTCTGTTCTTCCCACAGGTGACTGAGATTCTAGATTACTGGGGAGCCAACTCTGGCCCACTGACATGGCGCCTCACCCCTGCTGAAGTACGCCAGGTGTTGGCTCTGCGTATAGACTTCCGCAGCGAGGACATCAAGAGGCTGCGCCTATAGCTGCCAGGGTGAGCCCAGCTGGCCCATCTTACTCCAGGGCCCATTCCCTAAGTGGCCACAGCCAAGGAGCTAAGCAAGGCTCTCCGGCATGAGGAGAGTTCTAACAGCCCAGACCGTTCCTCCATTAGCAGCAGGGAAACAAGGCATTGACTATCCATTCTCTGCACTCAGACCTAGCTGGGTGATGCTTTGAGAGCAACCCTTTCTCACCAAGAGGTGAGTGCCCTAGCTCCTAATTAGGTGGGCAAGTCAACGCAGGCCAGCCTTCTGCGTGGTGGTCGTGCTCTCATCCCTAGACACTGCAGCAAACAGACTGCCTCTCTGCCAGCCTTAAAGGATTTGGGTGCATCTGGGGACCTAGGGAATTAGGTTTACTCCAAAAAGACGATATAATGTTTATGACCATCCTGATTAAAGAGACTCCTTGGAGAGATGCCAGTGTGCTGTTGTCAGGGAGGGCTGGGTGCTACAGGGCAAGACAGGTCTACCAGTTGCATTGACATGTGAAGGCAAAAGCCTAAAGCCTCAGCTCCCCCACACCTGGAGTGGCACATAGCTACTGCCAGGACACACTTTATAGCTGGTGGCTCATCCAACCCTGGAACCTAATCCCCTTCCTGGGCCATCAGCACCAGAAGCTGGATCATCCCCAGGGCAGTTTCCCACAGTGCCAGGGGAGATGGGAATTCCTCCCGGCAGGAATAAAAGAGCTTTATGAGGACAACTTTGAAGGGAAGATTGAATTTATTCCAAGAAGTTCACAGTCCTGAAAACCTATTGCCCATAGGTTTCGTGGCACAGTCCATTTTATTGGTTAAGGCCTGAGTTAGCAGTGGCTAGCTGTAGAACGCACTAGCTCACTACCACAGACATGGGTATGGACCCCCAACTCTACTCCCACTCCATCAAGTCAGCCTGGGAGTGTGTATTGAACATGGAAGTCTCTATTCAGGGGAAAGCCTGACCTCTAAGGAAGGCCACAGGAAATGCCTCATAGGGTCTCATTAGGGTCAGCCTTGCCGAAGGACCCAGGCTAAGGCTGATTGTCATCTCCTTCCAGGGCCTTAATGGAGAGTAAGAAGCTTAAGGCCACAGCTGAGCAATGGGATTTGTAAAGGCCACAAGGGATACTGAACATAGGACCTTCTTATGTCTAGATGGAGCAGAGACCAAGCCTAGGCCACTATTAACCAGGAAGTAACAGTCCCATTCCCAGGTGGTCTCTGCTTCACCGGGATTCAGAAGGGACTGGGCCCAAACTCAGGTCAGCTTACTTTGGGAGAAGATTCATAAAGAGGTAGGTGGGGAGTAGGAGACTGAGTGCTCTGAAGGGAGGGGCTGCTGTAGCTCCAGGTGTTCTCTTGCCAAGGGATGAGCCTCATGGGAAGGGGCCTCCGGTTGAGGTCTCACTCCTCAACAGCTGCAGGCTCAGGCCCTGAGTGTCCACTTCTACTAGGTGGATGCTGTAGTTCCCGAGGCCCTGGGAGCAAAGGACAAGAGGTGTTTAGAAGACTCTGGGCAAATCTCTGGCCTTCTGGAGGCTGACCTGAGGCTGTAAGGCCAGGGAGACATGCAGCTGTAGCCCCTAGTTAGCCAGTGGACCACAGTGGGCACCTACCCCCCACCAACTACCCCACCTAACACCATCAGGTACCTCAGTCTTGTCCAGCACGGCCTCCAGAACCTCCTTTTGCTTTGGCTCCTTGGTCAACAGATAAAGAAAGCCCCCACCGCCTGCCCCTGCCAGGCTCTGGCCATACACATGGGGGGCCAGGACATCCATCATTCGCCGCACAGCCAGGGGCTCAGAGCCTGGAGCCATGAGCTTCTTCTGCTCCCAGTACAAGGTCAGGCACTGGCCCAGCAGAGGCAGGCTTCCTGGGTGGGGACAGAGAAGGGAATGGCGTGCCTGAGCCAGAATATTCTGTCAGTGCCCATTTGCCTATAATAAAGTGCCAAGAGGCACTGCTTAACCAGGGGCTGGAAACAGGAATAATAAAGACTGCCTCACAGGGTTGTCTGAGGACTCATGTGCACAGGGCAGCTGACATGGTGCCCAGCAGTGTTCAGTAAACTGTATGGCCACTCACTTGCAACCCTGCTTAGCTCTGACTCCCCTGCACTTTCGCTATGGGGCCAATTCTCTTCCCCCACCTGCTTCTTGGTAAAGAGGGCTGGAGGCCTTCCCCATGCTGCAGGTATTGTCCTGAGGTATGGCTCCCACCTAAGTGAGACCCTAGGGAAGACAGACTGTAGGCTTCTGTCCCTGGGGGCTTAACACCTAGGGCCTGTGCCAAGACTACAAAGGCCCTCAGACCTATGGCTGAAAGGCACTCACTCCTGGTGCCCTGTCCTCAGGGAAGAAACACCTCACCTTGGTGGAAGGCTTTTACACACTCCTCTGTGTGCCGCACTAGGTTGTGGGCATTCTGCACGACAGCAGGCAGCCGGGCATACCAGCTCCTCAGTACATCCTACAGATGGGGCAGGAGGGGTGCAGTGAAGATGTAGGCCTTGCTGAGCCTCTGCCTATCTTCTTTCTGGGGCTGGGGCTCACCTGCAGCAGATTCCGAGCTAGGCGTGTCTTGCCAGTGTACACCAGGAGCAGGTGGTCATTGAGCGTCTGGACAAAGCCCTCCGGTACAGTTATCTCTTCTACCTCCACCTTCAGTGGCAGCTGAGCCCGGGAGCGCCCCACCTTGATGCCAGGCATTAGACCACCCACTTGGTCCTGCCAGCCACCTCCTGTGAACCCAGGGTCCATCACTGTTGGAGCCTACCTGACCCAACTTCCCTCTCCCAGTCCAGGCTTCTGGCCCCCTGCATCCCTGGTAGGGAACAGCAGGGGAAGACAGCTTCCCCCAACTCAGACAGCTGGGCCAAATGAGCTGTCCAGCATCTGTCACCAGCCTTGGGAGCGGAATGAGCCCAGCAAGAGAAAAGATTTCACTCCAGAACCAAGCTTGGGATGCACAAGGCCAAGTTGTATTGCAGGCCTGATGTATAGTTGGAACTGAGGTAAACCACATCGAAGAGTAAGACCTAGTACTTACCTCTCCCCCAAGGAGAAGGGATATAGGACTTTCACGGCAGCCTAACTGGCCCCCGCTCCTTATCTCTTCTGCAAATAAGCTTTCAGCATTTCTTATCAAATGAAAAGCTTGTTCACATCATGCTTTAGTAATGAAAGGTATGGATCTCTTTTTCTCTTGCAGTTTGGTAAAAATAAAATGAGATGGTTCTGGGATAGGCCCTTGATATTTGGGGAAGGTCCTACAAGAATTTAAAATATAAAATGCAAATGGCAGGAGGCATCTGGAACGTTAAGCCAAAACATGGTGGTTAGTGTCAGGCCCCAAATGTCAAGAACTCCTTAATTGCACCTCTGTCCTTCAGAGCACCTAGCAAAGCTTATAATTATAGTCATTTCAGTGGCTATTGATTAATGTCTGTCCTCAATAGACTATATGACTTTTGAGGGCAAGAGCCCTATTTTTGCTCATTTGATCCCCAGGGCCCAATGCTGAGTGGATACTCAATAGTTGTCAATTGACCAAATGAAAGATTTGAATGGTACATCTCAGAAGAAAACTGGAAAGGCCTCCCCATTTGCCCCTCTTGTCAATTATGGGATATGAGTCATTACAACAAAAGGAGCGGGGGCTGGGCTGCAAAGTGACCAGAAAAGACAGCATAATTGGCATCTATACGTCTTTGTGACAGTTTTCTGCCCAAAATCACGATGAGGATGAAGCCTGGCATCCTGGGGTGACCACAGCACCCTAGATAGGACCAGACAAACCTCAGGCTGTTCCCCGTTATGCATGGATTCCAAGGGGCCATGGTGGCTACAGGAGGGAGAAGCCTGGGGCTACTAACATTCGCTATGATTACAGCCATGTTCTGGGCCCTCAGTGCCCCCCATATGGCTGGCAGGAAGGCGAGGTGGGTACAGATACCATAGCCCAAGGGAGGGCAAGTGGGTTGGAAAGGCAGGCTGAAGGTCCTGTCCCCTACTACAAATCCATTCTGCCCAGTCCCACCCTAAGGACAGTCCTGGATGGTGACACAGTCATGAGGAATAATCACTTAAACATAGGTACCTAACACACATGAAAGGTATAACACAGAATCTGACACTTAGTAGGTGCTCCTAAAACATCTGCTCCTTTGAGGTAGAAATATTTTCAAGTTGAAAACCACCAGAGAAGGTCAGAGTGATAAGGAAGCTCTAACTGTCTGAAGGAGCAGCAGTTATGTGGCTGTCTACAAGCCCAGGGGAGCCCCAGGAAGCTCTTGGAAAAGTGCCAGTAACCTCCCTCCCACCACGGACAGTCCCATACCTGTGGTGAGCACCTGCTCCAGGTGCAGCACTGCATGGATCAGGGCCTCCCTGCTCATCATCCGACCTGCTGCCCGCTGCAAGGCGGCCAGGGCAGTGGCTGCCAGGATGCTGCTGGTGCCTGCAGAGCAGGGAGGAGGGGGTCAGGCATGAAACACCTCTGCCCAGCCCAGTCCTGCTTCACCTACTCCCTCTGTTGGGCGCGGACAGTGAGGAGGAAGGAAGGAGATGCTGGAGGGTAGGGATGGAGTGGTTGGCAGTAGGATGACAGGGCCTACTTACCCAGGCCAGAGCCATGGGGCAACTCAGACCAGGTGTGCAGCTCGAAGCCGCCCCCAAAGTTGTGCAGCAACTGCTCACTCAGTGAGAGCCTGGAATGGATGTGCACAATCCCAGCACAGATAAAGGCCGCCTTCAGCAGGGCCCCTATGGAGGGACCAGCACCCAGCAAGAAATTTAGTATCCAAAGGAACAAGCAGACACCTCACCTCCATTATTTCCCAGCCCAGCATGGGGCTCATTTGGGGAACAAAAGCCCAGCAGCAGGGGAGGCCCCATCCCCAAGCCACAAAAAGTCCTCTGGGCTACCCAAAATAGGCAAATGTGCCAGCTCTACCTCCTGTACCTGCATGCACCGGACAGGGTGACCTCGGGGCTCCTCGTCCAGACTGGCTAGCCCCCAGGCCAGGGTCTCCAGGGTTCTACCCCTACCCCCCAGCTAGCTATGTGTGCCATCTCTACTGGCAGATGTCCTGGGTGCCCTAACCTGGAGCATGGGGCTGACAGTAATCCTGCAGGTCCTCCAGGCTCCGGCACACTATCTTCATGGCCATCTTATCCTGCTGAGGCCCCACTGCCAGCCACAGCTCAGGCTCCCAGATGCGACGAGCTCTGGCCCCAATGGGCCGGTGGCCATCCACTCGCACAGCCAGACCCAGCACTGCCCCACCAAGCTCATAGGCGAGGGGTGGTGTATCACTCCAGCCTCCTGCAGCAGTTGAACAAGGCCAAGCTGGTCACGGGGCTGCCAGCCCAGCTCTGGAGTGGCCACCCTCACCCTCCTCCAAGGGGCTCACCAGAGAAATCCACTCGAGCTGGGCACTCAGCCACCACCCACTGCCCAGGTGCCGGCAGCTCCACAGGCTCCATGGAGACAAAGTGCTGGGCTGACATCACAGCCTGGCGGATCAGGATCTGCCCAGCCCCCTCGTAGTGGCGAGCAGCTCGCACTAGCAAGACTGGCCTGCCAAGAGGGAAGGGAGAGACAGCGGCATGGAGCCCCAAGCTGGGGACAGACTGCCTGGGTTTGGGGACCTGACTGCCCTGGGTGACTTGTGTGTACCCCACCCCACCTCTCTCTGGGTTTCCACCTATGAGGATAACCAGGGGCTTCTCCAGGGGTTCTCACATTAATAACACCAACCTGCTCAGCCACTTGTCCCGCTCCTGGGCAAGTGCCTTCACACCCCCAGCCAGGTCTCCAGACTCCAAGTATGAGAAGGGCCGAATCCACTCAGGATTGGCAGCTGGCCCACTCCGTAAGCCGCCTCGGCCTTCTGCCATGCAGCCCAGTACATCTGCCACACAGGCCAGCACCCGGGCAGCCACGCCTGGGTCTCCCACTCCAGCTGCAACTGATGGACCAGAAGTCGGGTGGTTGGGGATGGCACTCACTTCCAATGCCCTTTCCCCAAGAGACTATTCAACAGTCCCCAAACACTCCAAATCCCTCACACCTCTTCACTTTTGCCCAAGATGTATCCTTGTCTTTAACTGCATGCCCCACTCCTCTGCTTGGCAAAAAGTTCTTATCCTGCCAGCCCCAGCCCGAGCCCCAGCCCAGCTGTGCTTCTTGACCCCCACCCAGGACACCCAGAGTGGTTAGGAGCTCAAATTCAGGGGTCAAACTGCATGGGTTCAGTCTCAGCACCACCCCCAACCAGCTGTGTGGCTGTTGGTGAATAACTTAAACGGGGATCATTTTCCACAGTTCCTGGGATCATTAATGAGGTGCTGCCTGAGAGAGCCGGCCACATCCCCATGGGGCTCTGGGACCTACATTTTGATACCCAGTACAAAACATGTAAGCTTTGCTGATGCTAATAGGAACCAGAGGCTCAGCCTCTCACCAAACTCCTTACTGACAAGGATGAAACTTCCCAGAAACCTGAAAGCAAACTCCACTGTGTCTCTCTCCTGCTTTGAAGTCTCCTGGCTCCCAAGTACCCTTAGATCATCATCCCAGAGGGCAGGTAGGGCAAGGGATGCTGGGTCTGGCTTCTAGGCACAGAGACTTAGCACACTCACCCTGGTCCAGCATGGCCAGCAGGGTCCCAGGACAGCCCTCTCGGACAGCGGCCCGGATCAGTGGGCGCAGGCTGAGGTCCTGCCTGGCCTCCAGCACCTTGCGTGCCTTAAGCAGGGCCTGGCGGAAGAACAGGTCCCGGCGGGAGGCCAGTGTGGCAGCCCGGTTCAGACAAGGCTGCAGCTGCTCCCAGGACAGACGCCAGGAGGCCCGCCAGGCCCACAGGGCCTCACCCCCATCCTCCTGGGGGTCTAGCATCCACAGCACGTCCCGGGGCCCCAGGGCCCTTGAGGGGTGGAGCACAGGAAAGAGGCGGGCACTGAGAAGGCAACGCTCTGTTGGGGGTGTGTCTGGGTTCCACAGGTCCCAGTTTCTGATGTGGGGAGAAGACACATAAGCAGGAGGGAAGCTAGGGCTCCTGCTTCCTCACCAAGTCGTGACCTCCTGTCAGCTGGGGGCTGGCTAATTCACCGGGCGGGGGCAAGACCAATTCCTTGAGGTGGCACAAGCAGGCAATTTGGGGAGGGAGGCGAACTGCCCTGCCTCCTTTCCCAAGTCTCTGACAAAATCCCAAAGCCTGAGCACAGCCAGGGATTAGGAGTTGTCCAAGGGGAAGATGCTGGGGAGGGTCAGGCTACCCAAAACTACCCTAGGCCCCATGGGTTGGTGGGATGGCAGTGATGAGCCTGAAAGAAGCGGCCACCCTGGCTCCCAAGGCCCACAGAGGCCCATCAAGGCCATCAATCTTACCGAATGCCTGTCTTCTGGAAAAATTCACTCCATGGCATGTTAAGATATGTTCCTGTCCCCTGTCTCTGGGGGAAGAGGAGGAAGCAGAGCTTCAGGGACCACAGGAAGGGAAGGGTTAGGGACACTAAGGCCAGAGAGGACAGGAGAGACTTGCACATATGAGAGCAAGTTCTGAAACACTGTGTTAAGCCCTGGAGCTCAGCGCTTCTGCCCAGGTGCCTGGAACGGGGCAGAATCCCAGTTCTAGGCCCTATCCACTATAAATGACTGTGCAGCCCAAGGTAGGTCACCTCCCTCTCTGAGCCTCAGTCTCCAGCCTGTAAAATGGGGATAAAAATCCCCACCCAGACTGCTTGGCAGAGCAGATGAAGAGAGAGGTAAAGGCATGGAGAGATTCTACTGGCTACAGCCTATCCCTCAGGCCAGCACTCAGCAAGCCCTGCAATGGAGTGGGAGCTGGGCTGGGACCCCCAGGGCTCCCCAAAGCCTGAAGATGGGGGTGAGGGGACACAGAGCAGGCACCTACTTCCCAGCTGTCCAGACGGCCAACGAGGGTGAAGGCACGGACAGGGGTGCCGTGCAGCCGCAAATGGTGCCCCTGTAGGACAAGATCATGCAGCTCCAAGCCGTGGAGTGCCTTGGATTGGGCCATGTCCAGGCCACTCACAAAGCAACCAGCACCTATGTGAATGGGGCCCTGGCAAGGGAGAGGGCAGGCATCCTGAGTGGCATGCAGCTCCAGGCATACCCCCAACACACACGGGACCCAGCCCCTACAGCCCTGCCCTCCCTCTGCTCCTGCTTGCAGGCCTCACCCGGAGATGGCAGTGCTGCAGGACACTCCCAGGACCCAGTCGGACAGGGCCCTCCAGCAGGCAATTGACCACAGAGCTCCCAGCCTCCAGTAGCTGCAGCTCCTGTGAAGCCAGGGAGAAGGTTATGAGGGCCCAGGGCCAGGGGCTGCCCCAATCCTCCCCCCCAGCCAAGGCCCCAGCCCATGTCCATCAGTCAGCTAGATCCCTCTCTACATCTGCCCTGACCCCAGCATCAGGCCGACTCCCATCCCGCCCTATTCGTGTTGTTCCCAGGGGCATACTCTCCCTGCATAGTCCTCTAGAGCAAGTCTGAACTTAGTAATGGAGGTCCCATCAGATGACAGCTTTCCCGGAAATCCTCTCCCACCAGTTCAGGTACCCCTACCACTTTGAGGGCCACCTCTGAACTGTTATCTGCCCCCTTCCTCAGTACCATGGCACTGACCCAGGCCCATCACTTCAAATGTGCCTGTCTCCCCACGCAGACCCCAAGGAAAGGATGTGGAGTCTCTAGCTTCTCAATCAGGCAGACCTGGATGTAGAATCCTGACTTGGCCACTTACTGGCTCTGTGGCCTTAGGCAAGTTACTTAACCTGCCTGAGCCTCCCATGCCTCATGTCAAGTGGGGATAATAACATCAATATTCATAGATAATCTGTTCCCAGCATGGGCTATTCCTTCGCTTTCTAGGAGCCCCTATCCCACCTGTCCTCAGACACTTCTGCTGGTCTAACCTCCAGCCAGGTCTTACCTCCACCTGGGAGTGCACGACCTGGGCCCCAGCAACCCCAGGGAACGTGAGACTGTGCAGGAACTCACTGGACGAGTTGGTCATATAGCTGTAGCTGCCATCGGGGATATATGCTATAAAGATATAAGCAATGACCCCAACCCTATACCTGCTGCCACTCTGATGCCAGGCCAGGCCTCTGGCCAGAAGATACATCTTCATCAGGCCCTGAGAGGGCAGGCATGGCAATGACTCCATTATGCCAATGGGGAAGCTAAAATCCAGAGAGGCTCAGCAACCTGCCCAAGTCACACAGCTAGAAAATGGAAAGACTAGGACCAGAGCTCAAGAATGAGACAAAAGGAGGAGAGTTA